CCTCCTGCAGCCGCAGCTCCTGCAGATGTGAGTGTCTGAGGCACGAGGCAGCAGCCAGGGGAGAGTTCCTCTATCAAGGACCCCCCTGGGGCCAGGACCGCGGGGTTTCCCTTGCCTGCACCTCCTTTTTCCCTGCTGTGAGATGCTGTGGTGCATCCCTACCCCTCGCAGCATCCCACCCTCTCCCCGGCAGGTCTGAGCTCACCGTCCTCAGCGCCACGGCCATGCTGACGGGCACGGTGCGGCAGATCCGTGCACCCCCCCTGCTCCACCGCCTCGTCTTCTTCTTGCTGGGGCCGGACCGGCACCCCGAGACCCCAGGGGACACCCCCCACCCTCTGCGCACCCAGCTCATTGACCGCTGCAACGCGGGGGGGGGCCCCATCCTGGGGGGTGGGGGGGGGACGGGACGCATGGGCGATGCCGGGGGGCAGTGCCGGTGGTCTCACCCCACTCGCCGTGCCGCAGATCAGCCTGGCCAGCCTGCGGCTCTTCGAGGAGCTCCTGAAGAAGCCCCACGAGCACGTGGCACACAGCCTGGCGCTGAGGAACCTGGAGGCGAGGGGCTACCTGCAGCGCGGCCCCCCCGTGCCCGATGAGCGCGGACCCCCCGAGCCGGACCCCGATGAGGATGGGCTGTGAGTTGGGGCAGGGCGAGGGGGGACAGCCCCCTGGCACCCACCAGGCTGATGCCCCTACGCCGGCCCTACAGGGACCTGGAGGAGGATCCCTATTTCACCGACGGATTCCCGGATGCTGGCTTCGGGACGGCGAAAAAGCCTCCGCCGGGATCGGCCCCATTGGGGAAGGGGCAAGTGAGCGAGGTGGTCAGCAGGTAGGGATTTGCAGGGGCTGCTCCAGCATGGGGGGGGCTGCATCCCTTTCCCCATCCCTCTCCCCTCTCTTCCAGCTTCCTCTGCCTGGTCCCTGAGGAAGCGAAGACCTCCTCGTGCATGGAGGAAGGTGGCTACGACACCTACGTGCCCGATGCCCTGGGCACAGTGAGTGGCTGGCGGGGGGGTCCCCATCCCTGGCAGTGCCGGTTCCTGCTCGGGCTCTCACCCACCATCACCCCCCCACACCCCGGCCAGGTCCAGGCATGCCGTGCCAGCGCAGCCCCATGGGGGCGGCCCCTGGCCCCCCGGCC